AGTTTTGTCTTCAGCAAGTGAAATCCATGGTTGAACAGGTTGAGATCATTTGATTTACTCAGCCATTGCAGAGTATTCTTCTTTGCCTTACAAAAAAACTCCTGGGTTGCTTTCGCAGTACGTTCTGGGTCATTGACCATGTAATAACTCTGAATAACATTTGTCAAACAAATTAAAAATAAAGACCACTTACCAGGTCAAGTGGTTGATTTCCGAAATAGGAGCAGGAACTGCACGTTAGAAGAAAGTTTAATTTAGGGAAATCCAAGAGCATAGTTTTGGGTGATAATCTGGGTCGGCAACAAATGATCAGTCTTTAAGGGGGAAATCCAAGAGAGTCGTTTAGTCGATAACCTGGGTCGGAAACAAATAATCAGTCTTTAAGGAATAATCCAAAAGAATAATTCAGTCCCGTCCAGGTAATTAACAGGTGAGAAATCCGAGATAAGAATTCAGTAGACAATCCGCGTTCAACAACAGGAATGCCGTAATAAACATTAAAGGGAGATCCTTGAGAGAAGTGAAAAGACAGTCCGAGTTCAGCAACAGGAATCCAGTTCAATTAGTTAGTAATAAAGGAAAGGAGGGCTGGAGTGTCACTTGGACAGATTAGGACGAAACCTAATTAGGAGGAAAAAGATTGAACCGCTCCGAAGTTCAAAAACATTAATTGTGCAGGGAGGCACTGACTTTGAACATTTAAATACGTGAGGGTCAGAGGTTCTCTTAAAGGATTAGAGATGAATTTCTGAAGAACCATTAAAGAGACCATCACAGAGCGTCTGTAAAGTGATGCACCATCCAATCAACTTTCCAGAATTAGGCAGAATCTGAACAGACAATAAATTATTTTATTTATAAAATATTTTACCAGGAAAGATACATTGAGATTTCTCTCTTTTTAAAGGATGTCCTGGGTCCACAAATCATTGCATTGATACATTATGGTACAATAAAATACAAAACCAATACACCATAGAACAGGTAGGAAATATATCATCAACCATGACACGTGCATTCTGTTTTGAGGTATGTAGAGAGGAATCTCTTGAAGGACTTTAGGCTTGGGGGAAAATTTAAAGTGTGCGGGAGGTCGTTCCACAATTGCAGCGCTCTGTAGAGAAGGAGGATCGGGCTGCTTTCTTTTTGTATTGAGGTAGACTAAGTAAAGTGTTGGTACTGGATCGGAGGTTATAGAAGGTGTGAACAGCCGAGGAGAGCATTTTGCTCAGGTAGGGTGGGAGCTTTCCAGAAACGTTCTTAAACACAAGGCTGGAAAGATGAAGGGTGCGTCTGGATTCCAGCGAGTTTAATTATTTTAGCATGTCACAATGGTGGGTCCTGTAATTACATTGTGGCACAAATCGGCAGAACGAGTTATACAATGTATTGAGTTTATAAATGTGGGACTGCGGTGCAGATGCATAGACTACATTCCCATAATCCATTATTGGTATCAGCATTTGCTGTACAATCTTTTCCTTTACTGTAGGGCTTAGGCAGGATTTGTTTCTGTACAGGGCACCTAGTTTTGTATAAAGTTTAGATGCAAGTTTTTCTATGTGTATATCCCTATACACTTAATAATTCATCTGGCTGCTTCTGTCACAACATCAATAAATACTAGTGACCCAGTGCCATTGGAATCCATGCATGCCTTTGCCATCACACTACCTCCACTGTGTTTTACAGATGACGTGGTATGCTTTGGATCATAAGCCATTCCAAGCCTTTTCCATACTTTTTTCTTCCCATCATTCTGGTACAGGTTGATCTTCGTTTCATCTGTCCAAAGAATGCTGTTCCAAAACAGGGCTGGCTTTTTTTTAGATGTTTCTGGGGCTAAACGGGCCTTTCTATTCTTGAGGATTATGAATAGTTTGCACCTCGTGGTGAACCCTCTGTATTTGCTCTTGTGAAGTCTTCTCTTTATGGTAGTATTGGCTAATTATATGTCTACCTTCGTGAGAGTGTTCTTCATTTCACTGGATGTTGTGAAGGGGTTTTTCTTTACCATGGAAAGGAACCTACGATCATCCACCACTGTTGTTTTCTGTGGATGTCCACGCTTTTTTGTGTTTCTGGGCTCACCAGTGTGTTCTTTTTTTCTATAAATTTACCAAACTGTTGGTTTGGCTACTCCTAATGTTACTGCTATCTCTCATTTGTTTTTCGTTTTTCTTTGGATGGCCTGTTTCACTTGCATTGAGAGCTCCTTTGACCACATGTTGTGGATTCAGAGGAACAGCTTCCAAATGTGAATGCCACACCTGGAATCAACCCCAGACCTTTTATCTGCTTAATAGATGAAAAGAAAACAAACGAATAGCCCACACTTATCCATAAAACCGCTTTTGAGTCAACTGTTCAATTACTTTTGGTCCCTTGAAAAAGAGGTGGCTACATATTAAAGAGCTGTAATTCCTAAACCCTTCCTCCAATTTGGATGTGAATACCCTCAAATTAAAGCTGAGAGACTTCACTTTAAGCCCATGTGCATTATTTAACTGTAACTTGCATTTATTTTGGTAAACAGCCAAAATAACAAAACTTGTGTCAGTGTACAAATATACTGAACTGTATATGCAAACTACAGCTAAATACAACAGTGCACACACAAAAAATACAGTTTTAAATCTTACAAAATTACTGAAATATCACCTACCTTAGCAAACAAATATTGGGATTTAGTTATATGGCTATACCATGTAAAGGCTACCACTATGTCACAATACCCCAATATTGGTGGGTCCTACATTAATTTTAACATGAGAGATAAACATGCTAACTGCAATACTTACTGCATAAACTGCTTCAAGAAACTCGTCAAATTCACGCTTACTTGTGGTCCGTTCCATTGGATGTTTTGAATTAAGTAAAGCTGTGGTTCATACTTGGGTACTTTACAAGTTCTTCTTAATTGAGCTACTTTTATCTATGACTTTACACCACCATCTCCACTTGGCTCTAATTTCAAACTCTCCTTTATCTTTGCAAATGTGCCCCAATTGTTTAAAATCTGTTTTAGCCCTGTTCTTATTCATATAGGTATTAAAAGTTATATAGCCTGCAGTCTTCTGCAGAGCTTTACAGTTTTACAATGGGGATATTAAATAATAAGTAACTTACAGACAGGAGAGGTGAAGAAGACCCTGCTCATATGACCACAATCTAGGAGGAAGTGTTAAAAGAGGACTAGAAGTAGAACATTATATCAGGGGGAGGGGAGGTTGATAGATATGATGTCAGTGTCTAGCTCAGCTTGCAATTCTGGAGTTTGGGGAATGTAAAAGTGGAAGGAGAGAGAGTGAAAACAAGTGGAGGGACAGTAAGAATATTGTAATGAAAGAAGAGTCAGTCAGGGAGATGTTACACTTTCCAAAAAAAACAAGTGGGTTTTCAGGGATTTCATGATGGGTTGAAGTCTAGGGTAAAGTCTATATTATATTAATAGTATATTTGGGGCTTTATCTGTCATTACGTCCTTGTTTTCTCAGCAGGTTGGTGCTTTGCATTTCCCTGTCTTTTTCATTACTTTTGCATTTCCCTACTATGCCAGTCCTTTCACTTCCCAGATACCAAAACTTGTCTTGCAATCCTTTAGCCTCAAAAAGACAGCTAGTTCTATTATTGACTTTGACCTTGTTGTCATGTTGATAGTCTGTAGATGGTCCTGACCTTTTGATCGAATTTCGCCCATCAGGACAAAATTAGGTGTTTAAGGAGTAACCCCGAAAATAACAGAGCTGCCATTGGAAATTAGGAAGCCACTTACAATACCATACTTCTCTCCATCATACACTCCTAGACATATGCACACACATACACGACTTTGTGCACATTAATCCTACTAATGTTTTTAATGTAAACTCTATATTGAATCTCACTTGCCATGCCTGACCAGTCCTGTTCATGTATCCAAATCCCGCTGTAGAAAAAGTAATATCCTGTTTAGACTCTTAGTTTTGTGTCATCTACAAACAAAACGATAATTTAGAAACACTATAAAGAGAAGTGGACCCAGGACAGCACCCTGACGTATTCCACTTGTGTACATTTTCTGTTTACAACGACTCTTTACACTCTATCTTCTATCCAAATACACAATTTCTTATCTAAACCCAATGCTTTCAGTTTCAGAATGGATTTAAATTACCTTGATGTGGCATGTCTACTAATGTTGCTGTTAGAAACACCTTAACAGTCCATCAAATAATTTCCCAAGGACCATGGGTCTGTAACTTCCAGTTTGGTATTTTAAACCCTCTTTAAACGTAAGAACCGTATCTGCTTTTATCCAATCCTTTGGCACACTTCCTGGAAGAAAATATTAAAATTAGTGATTAGCTTACGCTCTCAGCCAATGAGCTAACCCTGCACGTAACCCTGAGGTGGTGTGTGACACCTACCAGAGATCTTACCCCCCAAGTAAGAAGTCAAACAACAACAACAACAAAAATCGCAGATCATAGGTTTTGTTTTGGTTCAGAAGTTGGACAATTGCCTCTGTCCTTAAGGGGAAGAGTAGAAAACAAGCAAACTGAGACAGTGTCAGTTTGGGGTTAACTATTGGCTTTAGTTTGGGTTTGTCATGTAAACATAAAATTTAAATATGTTTATAGTTTGGTAATGATCACTGCTGATATTCCTTGATCAGCATTTCCTTTTTTCGGGCCCCCTATCCTACCTTTTAATTTAACAGATCTCAGCTAAAATACTTGATCACTTGTACAAAGGTTCCTGCAGTGTTTCTATTCTAATACTGTGCCTTTGTCACATATCCTTCATATCCATGTGGCAAAAACGGAGACAATTACCTTCCGAAGATTGAGGGGAGTGCTGCTCGGTGGTCTTCTGCCATGATGCCTGGTTTGTGCGGTGTGTCGGTGCACGCCAGCCGCTGCGGACCCACGCAGTTATATAGCCCCACATCCGTCCACGGTAAAGACGACGCCGACCTGCGGGTGACATCACGCAAAAGACACACGCACGAGTCAAGGGCTAGGTACAGCCAGTCGGATCTGCAAGAGGGTTATTTAAACTCACTTATTAGCTCATTGCCCTGTTGTGCTTTCCCTTAGATGGTTATCCGAGAGTGTATTCCTGATCGTGTTATTCTGGTTTTTGACTTTCCTGATTTCTGGTATGCTTGACTTTTGGCTTTTCCTTATCGCTGTGTCGTTCTCTGTCCCTGACCTCGGCTAGTTTTCTGATTATTCTCGGGTACGTTAAGTCCGGCCATTCTAAGATCCGGTTAGACGTTACTCTTAGTTCTAGGGTGTGATGCTATTCTGCGTGCTAGATCAATATAATCCTCACAGCCTTGGCTTTTCCCTCTAGTGTTTTTTTCCGCTAGCCAACAGGTCAATTACAACACTTGTTTTAACTGTCATATTTGGTCTATTTGTTATTATTATTATTATTTCAAAAAGCGCCCCAAAATTGTGCAGCACTGTACCATAGGTGGACTAACAGACAAGTATTTGCAACAAGTCGAGTTGGGTTCACAGGAACAGAGGGTGTTGAGGTCCCTGTTCAAACCAGTTTATATGTGTATCAAGTAAAAATGATCCCTGTTAATGTTTACAGCAGGGTTTAGGCAAAGCTGTAAAGCAAATGGAAGCTGTCAATCCTTCAAACCACTTAATCCACCACAGCAAAATTAACTTTGTAATCAATTTAGCAAATCATTTGTCTGAGAAGATGGACACTTTCATAGATCTGTTTACCAGACAAATGCACAGAATTCTGTCTTTCAGACACTCCAATAGCGAGATGCACCTGCCTGTGCTACATTGTAATAACTTACTGTCTGGGAGTGAGTGGGGGAGATGGTCCTGAAAAATCAATTTGGAAATTACATGCAACATGAGTCTGAATCATTTCCTGCATTACAATAAATGTTTCTATCTCACAAACAGGAGGTTGGAGATTTGTTACATGAAATAGACATAAATAGATATATTAGTTGTGGCGAAACCGGCCTCGCCACGTGTCCTTGGGGGGGGCTGCTTGCCCGCCTCTTGCCTTTGGACTATGGACCAGACTTTATGAGAATGTGTTAACCCAGATAGCTATGCCATGGAGCCCATTTGTGTAGTTAAAGACTTTGGCTCCATGGCGATTGAACTGTATTTATGTGATCTGAGCGCCATTCGGTAGTAATGTGCACTCAGATCTAAGCTATCTGGGGATATGTAGAATGTCTATGTTTTATGGAATAAATGTAACTGTATGTAATTTTATGTCTTTTATTGTATTGTTACTGCCATGTGGTTAATGGAGTCTTGCCTCTGTCCTGGGAGATAATTGGATTACTTCACAGTTATCTCCTGGACAGAGAGGAGGGATTGTGATGTAAATGTGGGTGTGTTTTATGGTTCCCCTGTAACGATTGGTTGTACTGTGTCCCACCCTGTGGGATGTCCCCTTGCATGGGGACTTGCATAAAAGCCAGTGTGTGGCCATTACAGGGAGTTCCTGTTTTAACCCTCAAAGTGCAGTGTCGTCTCATTATTGGGGGAAGGATTTATTGTATGCTGTTCCAGTTTGACTGCTAGGAGAGTAAACCTATTCGTATGGTTCCTATTCAACTGTCTACAGCATTCTTATGCTTGAGAGAAGGTATACGCTTCTCCGGTTCGGTGATTGTGGTGTCTGCTGCAGTGCTTGGAGTCCTCAGGAAGCGCTAGGAGCATCTTTCAACGGAGGTACCCAGTCGGGGTGCCAGGTGATCCGTTACATTAGTATTGTTTTTGCATTCCTTTAGTGGCCTTGGGGGCTTAAGGTACATGATGCTAGATTTCTGGCTTCTTTGGGCCAGGAGCTGAAAATATGTGATGGCCCTAATAAAAGCAGTTGAATTTCAATTTCCATTACCACAGTAGTTAGGGACTACACGTGCAACATATGTTAAATCTACTACTGGTCCACACATCCTCTGGACTCTCCCTCATGTGTAATAATTATGCCACTGGGAACCGTAAAAAAATCATGGAATTTAAGTTGTTTTGGTACAGGAGGTCCATGTCACTGGCTTAGTTTTAAGTTTCTTCGTTTAACCCCAAAGTCTCCTCTCCAGCTCTGGATCGCTCTGCCCCCTCGAACATCTGCTTGTTGTAAAGATTCAAAATTGAAGCCTAGGATGGCTGCGAGGCAGGGGTGCCGCTGATTGACTTGGTCAGCTGATGCTCTCAGACAATCAGTGTTTTCTCATGTATAAATCGGCTTGAGAAACTGTTCTCTTAGCTGTGAAAGCTAATTTTCACAAATGGTTTAACCCCTGAAGGCAAGTTAGTTCCAGGGAACCCCTGGCACCATATCAACTTATGTAGTGTTTCTTTAAGGCTGATCATATAATGTGAAACGCAGCCTCCGTGCACAATATGGTGTGACTACTGAGAAATAAATTTGAAAAAAACAAACAGTTTAATCAGACTGGAGCTCCTATGTAATGGCAGAAGTATTTTTCATAATTTCAAAGAATGGGCCTGAAGCTGCTGTTCCAATAGCCACTGTTAAAATGACCATGCTTCTGGAGGTCTTTCCCGTGCTCTTCCACTCAGTAAGTCTGCCCATCTCGATCCCAAGGAATATAAATAAACTATCTGGGCTGCATAGTAGTACCGACAAACAAGAGATGTAGATGTAAAAACATTTAATTTAATGTGTGTTATGTAAGTCAGCCCTCAATCATATATCTTAAATATTAATTATTATACAAATGCCCTTCAGGCGCTGTGGCTTGGAAATGGTGTCACACTGTAGTGGCTGTGATGCCAAGAGTCCTTTGGCGCTGTCCGACTGTAAACTGTCAAACCACTGAAGAACATTTTGACGTTACCTGTCATTGTTGAGTGCCCTTGCTGGCATGATAAAGCAGAAACTAATAATTTCATATTATAATACCAATTCAAACTAATTTGAGACATTACTCATTGACTGAGAGCTGTAAGCAGTTTGACAATATACCACTAGATGGCACCAGTGGGCTCCAGGTACTATAGCCACAATAACATGCTGTAATGGTTAACATCAGTCATACCTCCCAACTCCAGCGTTCTGTGAATCAGGATGAGAAGTGGGAAAGGGATGGGCCGTGTCACTGGCACCATCCTAAGGGAGCAGATTCATGCAGCAAGAGGGTTCTGCCTGAAGGATTGGCAGCCAGCCCACTGAGGGCAAGCAGTGCAGGGAGCAAGCTATGTTTGTTGGGGACAGGTCCCTGGTTTACCCAAAAGTCTGACACCAGGGGACTAAGTTGGGACAGCGACAATTAGGACGATTGGGAGGCATTCTCACAGCTTAGAGGGAGTACAGAGAGTGATTTGTACCAGAAACTTGACAATCATGTGAAGATGTTATAGTGCTTAGATTCATATCCTTTAAAACATCTCTGTCACCCCCTAAATATTGAGTATTTTATAAAAATTAAATCTTTATGAAATTCTCATAAAGATGTGCTGGAATTTCTTTAAAATGCCACCATAGTCAAAAGATATAATCAGACACAGTAGGGACTACTTTGTCTTAAGGTTAATCCTCAAATTGAATAAACTTGACAAAAGGTAGAGCTCTTCTCATTACCCATTGTACAGCGCTAAAGAATCTGATGTCGCTATATAAGTAATAAAATAATAATTACAAAATAATATCTATCATGTGATCCTCTATAGACATCACTGTTGTATTCTTCGCACGTGCGAGAGTACACCACTTGAGGCATACTGGAGGATGAAAAGCCAGGAGATGAAGATTAAATATGGTAGCCCGTAGCATCAAGTAAGTATAAGTCCTCTGTGATGCACACCCCGGCCACTGTACCCTGAGCTTTGATCTCAACATTGGGGTCTTTGCAAAGAAAAAAAAAAGACCCCATTCAGGTGGTGAGCCACTTTAAGAGAAAGCTGGGTGCCAATCTACATTTTTTTAAAAATCCCTGCTGTATATGGCTTTATGGGGATTTGCACAACAGTCCTAATAAAAATTATTGGAAAGCAGCAAATGGCTCAGAGACTCCTTTGTCTTCAGTGATATAACTGCAGTTGCAGCTAATAAAGGACATTGTGTTTTTGTTTTGTTTTGAATAGACAATATTCTCAATGCATTACAAATGATACTCTCCAGCCTGTAGTGTCTCTTAGTTTAAAAGGGTACTCTAAACACCATACCACTAGAAACCACTGTTGTGGTTATGGTTCCCAAAGACTTTTGGCACATCCCCTGGAGATGTCAAACACTTACCTCAGTCCAAACATACAAAATTAAGCCTTGCACTCAAAATTCAACTACTCCTGGGCGGCAGCAATGACTATAGTACACAATACATACCCTAATACTTACAATAAAAAACAAAGAGTTACTTTGGTTTACTTGAACACTATCCCAATTCCCTATGCAAATGTAAATAACTGGAGGAATGGTGGGAGTTTGAGTGCTGGGCTTAGTTTGTATGTGTGTTTTTGCTTTTGTATTGCACAGCCATGTAACAGTGCTGCCGCCCACCCCATGTGTTCACTATTAAGGGTTAATAAGTGTGTAGGGATTTAGAAAAATACCCCTCTCTGTCTCATTAGAGATTTCTCCTTTCAGCTGAAAGTAGCAAGGTGAATTGTTAGCAGAGGACTCATCTGAGAGGTTTGCCTTGATCTGGCAGGTGAGCTTACACTGGAATGGCCATTGGAGTGCTACAAAAAAAAACCTCCAGTTATTTAAATGTGCATAGGGATTTGGGATACTGAACAACAAATTTACCCAGTTCCAACTGGTTCCTGTGATCAAGCCTCTTTTCAGGTATGGCTACATTCACAATAATAGCACACTATGGCTAAAAGTATGTGTACACCATTTTTTATTTCAGGTGAGGTTTTGTCCTCACCCATCGCTAACGTGTGCATAAAATCAAGCACATAGTCCTGAAATCTACATAGACAAACATTGGCATTACAAGAGGTTGTAAAGAAGAGCAGAGTGACATTAAACATGAAACTGAAAAATGGAAGTGTATAGGAGAAACAGTCCAGCTAGAAGTGGTAGGCCACACTTGGACCAGGACATACAATTCATCTATCATTTGTTGCATTATTCACTACAGAGCTCTAAACTGCCTGTGGTAGCAACTCCAGCACAAGAACTGTGCCTCGGGATCTTCAGGAAATAGTTTTTCAAATTCCATGACTGTACACAATCCTCACATGCACAATGCCAAGTGTTGGTTGGAATAGTGGAAATGGTGCCAGCTGTAAAATTTGGTAAAGTGTTGATGCCCTGGAGATGTTTCACAGGGTTTGTGCTTAAGCCTCTTAATTCCACTGAAGAGTCGACTTAATGCTTAGATAATTGTGTGCTTAAAATCTTATGGTGGTCCCCTGGCAGGTACAGGGCACTACCAAAGGGGCCAGGTGACCTAGTCCCTACCCAAACACAAAGCGATACTTCAAAGCTAGTTAACTACTAATCTTAGAAGGTTTTCTTTTTTTTAAGTCGCACACCGCTGGTTTTCATTCATGTTCTATAAAAATAAAACAAAAAATGTGATATGTCTATGTTGTACTTAATAACATGTGATGGAATTCCAGTAAAATAGAAGTTTAGTAGGCCAAGATTGCCATGTAGCATATGTAGTATCAGTTAGTTAGTTACACGTAGCTAAGATACTGTCATCAATGTACTGAGCATGTGCAGGAATGTAGGAACTGAAATCACACTCCTTTCTCCTTTGTTTCAGATGAGCCATGTGGTCAGACCGGATGAGCAATTCCAGACTCTGTTTATTGATTGGTTAAGGGTATGTGTGGGTGTAGCTATTTATGGGAGGAGCTATATTGCTATATAAGGAATGTACTCCATGTGTTCTGGGCTCAGATCTGTTGTGGAACGTTAGTCCATCTGAGACCCGATCGGTACATGAATAAAGGCCTCTTACTTCCTGAAGACTTGTGTCCATATCTCTATGTGTGGCTTCTGCAGTTTGTTTCTGTTATTCCTCCGGTAACATTTTTGCTGCATTGGGTCCGAGAACCTCATCGCACGGAAGCTGGCGCAGATATTTGAGACGGTAAACTTTTACCAACATTCTCCACGGCAGCACCCCTGAACTTCTGCGTGGACCTCCTTTCGTCTCAGCGCCACTGGCCTTTTGTCCAGATCATCATCGGCGTCTCCGCAGTGAGTACCGGGGTGCCCCGTCGATGAGTGTGAAGCCCAGGTCCAGGAACGAAGAGGTAAGATTAATACCGTTAGAGCGGTAGGCCCACAAGAGGTTTATATTTGGAATTGGTTTGGTTGTATGGAATCTGCCCCTTCCCTCTGGAAGGAAGAACGAAGGCTCACCGCTTATGTTGACATTAGACGCTCTGTAGTCAGCCGTCTAATACAGGTGGCTTGGGTCAGACTGAATCTTGGTGTAAATAGTTCATGTCGGACACCAGTGTCCTGTTTTGACTAGCGTGTCTAGGTGTAAATTTTGGTCGCTAGGTCGGGGAGGCCAGTGAGACTAAGCAGATTCTGGTGTACATTCCGTCTGCTAGATCTCATCCTATCTTGGCTAAGTGGCAGGCGTGTAAATTCAACAACTAGACTATTGATAGAGTAAATAGACTAAATGAGTCCTGTTGTAAATTCCGCTCATTAGTTTGCTATATGTGGTGCTTGGGCAGCGTAGACTAACCGAATCCTGGTGTAAATAGTTTGATCGTTCTCAAGGTGCTGGCCAATTTAAATAGTTGGGATTATTGTAAATATTGTTAGATATACTGTAGTTGGTGAACTGGTGAATTGGTTAAATTGTATGTCCTGCTAGAAAGCTTGAGCTCTGCCGCCTAGTGGGAGTGTAAATTGTACCATAACCACTGACAGGTACCATAACCACTGACTTGTACCATAACTACTAATATTACGTGAAAAATACTAAAATTACTGTTTAACCTTGCATGTGTACTAACTGATATTGTAACTTTAAAACCATAATTGTCTAAACTGTACAATAGTTACTAACCGTACCATAACCACTGACTGTAGAGACGAAAAGGCCTCCACGTGGTAGTCTTGATCCAAATCTTGTGCAGCGTGTACACGTGGCTGTATCTAGTAGGCCTGAATTTTACGATAAGTTTCCGTACATTGATTGTTGGAAACAGGTTGTGGAAGGATTGCCCAAATGGATTAAAGTATGCCACGAGGAGCAATGTCGCCTCATGGTGGCCAGGACTCGCCTGTCCATCACGGCCGCAACTCCGCCCATTTTAGATATGCACACTGTGTCAGAGCTTCCTCCAAGGCTAGAGGAGGTGTTGCCGGTGTTGCCAGTGTTGCCACTCCCCCTACCCTAGTGTCTCCTCCCACTCATTCATCCAGCTCAGAACCCAGCCCACTTGCCTTAAGCCCTCCCCTTCCGGTACCTACTTCCATTAGACCGGCATATCCGGATCTGACGTCATTTCTTGTTCCTGGTCAGGCTCCTCCCAGCACGGCCCGTAATATCCTGTTAACTGACCTTTCGTTTAGTAAAAATCAGTTGTCCCCATCTCCTTGTCTCACTACCCCTAGACCGGAACTTAATACTAAACAACCTCACCGAAGCCCTGTATTAACCCGACAGATGACTGGTACCCTCCAACCCCAACATTACCAAATGCCTCTCCGACTTACACTGGGCCCAACACACGTTGACGATAATGGTCAATTGCAACATGCAGACCTTGTATTTGTCTATGTTCCCTTCACTATGACTGACTTATTTAATTGGAAGACACATAACTCTTCATATACTGATAAGCCTCAAGCCATGACAGATTTGGTTGCCTCAATCATACAAACCCACAATCCTACTTGGGCTGATTGCCATCAATTACTATTGACTTTATTTAACAATGAGGAAAGGACTCGGATTAATCAAGCGGCTATTAAAGTGCTTGAGGAAGCGGCCCGTGTTCAGAACCAGGCAAATCCGGCTGCAGCCCATTACCCGAATGTGGATCCGAACTGGAATATTAATGGCGCTGATATGCCCCATTTAAGAGCTTATAGGGAAGCCATTATTGCTGGCATGAAGGCAGGAGGGAAAAAGGCAATCAATACGTCAAAGACGGCTGAGGTGTTGCAGAAAGCTGACGAGTCACCTAGTGCCTTTTATGAAAGATTACTGGAGGCATACGGATTGTATACTCCTTTTAATACAGAGGCTCCTGAGAATTCCCGAATGGTTAACTCAGCCTTTGTCAGCCAGGCCCAAGGTGATATTAAAAGGAAATTACAGAAGTTAGAGGGATTTGTAGGGATGTCTATATCAGAGTTGATGGAGATTGCGAATAATGTATACATGAATAGAGGAGTTGAAAATAGTTTGAGTAGGGGACCACTAAGCAGGAATCAGTGTGCATACTGTAGAGAGGAAGGACATTGGAGGAATGAATGCCCACAGAGAGAGCATTATGAAAATGACCGACAAGAAGAGAGAAGAGTGCGGGGAGGTTATGGTGGTAACTATAGAGGAAGAGGAAGTTTTGGAGGAAATAGTGGGAGTAATAGAGGAAGTGTTCAAGGGGACAGATATCCACCCACACAGAGACCTAGAGAAAGAGAGGATAGAGATTTTGTGGGTCTGGCTGACACTGTTATGGAGGACTATTGATACCGACTGGGCTCCATCCCCTGTGGCCGAGCGGAGCCTATGGTCGATGTAGCAATAGGGGGAAAGAGAAGTCCTTTCATGATTGATACTGGGGCTGAACATTCCGTGGAGAGCAAATTAGTTGCTCTTCCTTCAGGAAAAACCATAACAGTAATAGGAGCAACGGGGAAGAGCGCTGCTAGACCGGTTCTTAAGAGTCGCACTTGCATTCTGCCTGAGTGTCCAATCCAACTTCTAGGACGAGATTTATTATCAAAGCTTCAAGCCAAGATAACCTTTTTACCCAATGGATCGACATCCCTGAAGTTTAATGGATAATCGGGCATAATGGCGATATCGGTGCCAAGGGAAGAAGAATGGCGCTTCTACATGATAATAACAAGTGTAAACCCTAAGAGTAATGAATCCCTATTTGACATTCCAGGAGTATGGGCAGAAAATAATCCACCAGGGCTTGCCCGTAATATTCCACCTATACATATTGAGTTGAAGCTTGGGGCCTATCCCGTGAGTCTACGACAGTACCACATACCTCAAAAGGCAAAGAGAAACATACAGACCTACTTGGATAATTTCGTAAGGTATGGTATCCTAAAATTCTGTACTTCCCCTGGAATACTCCATTGTTACCTGTTCAGAAGCCAGGATCAGATGAGTATCGTCCTGTACAAGATTTAAGAGCAGTTAATGATGCGGTAGTTAATATACACCCAGTTGTACCCAACCCTTATAATCTGCTTGCCTTGATACCAGGTGGGGCAACTTACTTTACAGTCTTAGACCTCAAGGATGCTTTCTTTTGTCTTCGAATTGCTGCTGAGAGTCAGTGTATCTTTGCCTTCCAATGGGAAGATGCTGTTACGGGTTCAGAGCGTCAGATGACTTGGACTAGACTACCTCAAGGATTCAAAAATTCACCCACCCTATTTGGATCCGCACTAAGCCAGGACTTGCAAGATTTCAAGTCCATCCCAGGAGAATGTGTATTACTTCAGTATGTGGATGATTTGTTGATAGCGGCAATTACTAAAGAGATATGCCAACAAGCAACTTATGATCTACTTCAAATTCTCTGGAAGGCAGGATACAAAGTATCTAGGAAGAAAGCGCAATTGTGCCAGTCAACTGTCAAGTATTTAGGATTCCATATCTCTGAAGGTCAAAGGGTCAAAGGAAAGAAGCGGTATGTCAGATACCGATACCTAAGAATAGAAGACAGGTGCAGGATATGGATTCCTAATTACGCGATATTGGCGAAACCCTTATATGGAGCTATAAAAGGCACAGAACATGACCCCTTCCTATGGACCACTGAACAGCAGAAGGCATTTGAGGATATCAAGAAAGCACTAATGAGTGCCCCAGCCATAGGTTTACCTGATCATACACGTCCATTATATCTGTATGTACATGAGCAAAGAAGAATGGCTGTGGGAGTACTAACTCGGTATTTGGGATTATGGCAACGACCTGTCACGTACATGTCCAAACAGTTGGATGCAGTGGCCAGTGGTCTTCCACCTTGTCTGCGAGCAGTGGCCGCCGCTGCCCTGTTGGTAGCAGAAGCTGACAAGCTTACATTGGGTCAGGAGCTCTACATGCGAGTACCTCATGCAGTACAGACTCTACTGGATTACAAAGGTAATCATTGGTTCAGCAATAGCCGAATGACTAAATATCAAGCCATGCTATGCGAAAATCCAAGAGTACACCTTGAGACTGTTAGTACCCTGAATATAGCTACCCTTTTGCTACAACCTATTGAAAGTCAACATGATTGTTTGGAGATAATGGATGAAGTGTTTTCAAGCCGACCGGACCTTCATGACTTTCCCATCCAGAACCCGGATGTACAGTATTATACGGATGGTAGTAGCTATGTGAAAGAAGGAATTCGCTATGCAGGATATGCGGTAACAACTATAGACAAGGTGATAGAGGCACGGCCACTGTCAAAAGGGACATCAGCACAGAAGGCAGAATTGATTGCACTGACACGGGCCTTGCAATTGGCTGAAGGGTTGAAGGTGAACATATATACTGATTCAAAATATGCATTTTTAACCACTCATGCCCATGGAGCCTTATATAAAGAAAGAGGGTTGTTGAATTCGGAAGGGAAAGAAATCAAGTATGCAGCTGAAATACTTCAACTATTGGAAGAAGTATGGGAGCCAAAGGAGGTCGGTATTATACATTGTAGAGCACATTTGAGAGGCGATAGTGATGTGGTAAAAGGAAATCACATGGCAGATAGTGCGGCTAAGCGTGCTGCTGAATCTGGACAGGAGGAATATGTGGGGTACGTTGCTGCCCCTCTGTCTCAATGGACCCCGATTTATACAACTCAAGAGATGGAGTGGTTGAAGACTGAAGCGCGAAAATATTTGGACAACAATTGGTATCAGTTAGAAGATGGAAGAATAGTCATTACGACATCTCTGGCTATAGAGATTGTTCAGAACTTCCACAATGGCACACATACAGGAAGAGATAGTATGGAAGAATCTCTCAGGAAACATTTCTATATACCAAGATTATCCAATCTTACTCAAGCCATTGTTCAAAGATGTGTTCTGTGTGCAAAGAACAACGAAGACAAGGCCCTGTTAAACCTCCTGGGGTCCAGTATATGGGAGGACTCTCCATGTCAGAGCTGCAAATAGACTATACAGTAATGCCTAAATCTGGAGGATATCGTTACCTGTTGGTAGCTGTGTGTACCTATTCAGGTTGGGAAGACGCTTGTCCAACCCGTACGGAAAAAGCAGGAGAAGTTGTACGATTCCTGTTGCGAGAAGTCATACCCAGATATGGACTCCCGTGCTCTATAGGATCAGATAATGGCCCAGCCTTTATTCATCAATGCCTACAACAACTGACTCATATGCTTGGTATTAAGTGGAAACTTCATACAGCATATAGACCTCAGAGTTCTGGGAAGGTGGAAAGAATGAACAGAACTATAAAGACCCAGTTGGCAAAAATGTGTCAAGAGGCCCAGCTTAAGTGGAATGTTCTTTTGCCAATAGCTCTGTTGCGCATACGCAGTACTCCTACCAGGAGAACGGGTCTGTCTCCTTTTGAAATTATGTATGGACGTTCACCTCCTATACTCAGTAATCTAAGGGGGAATTTGAGTCAGTTGGGTGAAGGAATTACAGCAGGTTGTAGAGTTGGGTAGAACTATGGAGGAAGTACAGAAATGGGTACAAGCTAGGTTACCTGTGAACATATATCCACCTGTTCAGTCTTACCATCCACGAGATCAAGTGTGGATAAAAGAATGAAGGACAAGAAGAAGGTGTACCATTAGGTCCGAAATGGAGAGGTCCTTATGTTGTTCTTTTGTACACTCCAACAGCTGTAAAGGTGGCAGAAGTGACTCTGTGGATTCATCACTCTAGGGTTAAACCAGCAGAAGACTCTTGGCAAGCCACTCCAGACCCTGAAAATCCTTGCAAGATCCGGTTAAAGCGGGTGACTCAGTCGGAGTGAGTGTGAAGTATTGGGACATTGTGGTTGAAAGTACTATTTCAAGACCAGCAAGTAGGTGTTTTGATGGCCATAATAAAGCCTGACCATCTGCCTACGTGTCATAAGCCAGAGTGTCTCGAAGAGATCTCTGTGAAGGAAAGTGAGGATCAGAAGAACGCCAATCCTTGCAGCCCTCACAGTCGGGAAGCTGAGGTGCTGTCGCATGGTCGAAGAGATAAGAATGAGGATTTCAGGAATAATAAATTTTATTGTGTGTTTATGTATTGTTATAAATTTTCAGGAAGGTAAGAGTACAGACATACAGAATTGTGATAGTTGCATTAAGACTACAAAAACAGGTAATCAAATATCCCAAACTCTTATTTGGCACTCACAGTATGAATGTAAGGGATCTGTATCTAAATGTAGATATTTAGATACTGATTACAGTGTGTGTCACCCAGCAGTAGGAGAGCCTAAATGTTTTGATCCCCAATCCCAACCCCGTATAATTTGGTTGGTAATTCGGAATAGTAACTCTCAGGGGACCTTGATAAATAGGACGGTAAAATACCATACATTCTACGGGTATTCTACTATTTGATGCATGTAAGGTGATCTCGGGTAGTGGAAAACCTTGGAATGTATGTGGTAATCTAAAGTGGGTACGAACTTATGGGTTCAATGACAAATATTTATGTCCCAGTAAAAGATCTACTGATCCTGATTGCCCAAATAGAGATTTTAATTTCTGTCCATATTGGTCTTGTTTGGGGTGGGCAACCTGGGGTAAAACAGTAGACCAAGATATGATTATCCAAAGGTTGCCTACCACACCACATTGTAAATCTATGGAGTGTAATCTGGTCCATATGACCATTTCTAATCCGCAACACTTCATAGACAAATTCGGAAATCTATTTGGGTTCCAAATATACGGAACAGGGTTGGGTCCTGGGGCTATTATATATGTAGGCATTGAAATGGAGACAGTAGCAACCCAGACTCATCAGGTTTTTCATTCCTTCTATGAGGAGATGAGTATTGAGGATAAAATTCCCCATAATGTTAAGAACCTATTTGTAGATTTAGCTGAGAGTATTGCGGGTAGTCTTAATGTAACTAACTGTTTTGAATGTGGAGGTACTAATATGGGAGACCAGTGGCCATGGGAAGCAAAGTACCATGGTTCTGAGACAGATGAACAACAGATACTTTCTCAGTCTGATCATCAAGTAAGTACTAGAGGTAAATCAGAATGGCGGTTAAAAACCTCTGTTATAGGTCATGTTTGTGTAGCTAGGAAAAGGACAATGTATAACACGTCTGTAGGTGAGTTAGCATGTTTGGGACAAAAGGCTTATAATGATAATACAAAAGATACTACTTGGTGGTCAGCTTCAAATGTCTCGGAACCTACTAATCTGTTTGCCAATTACACTAATTTGAAAGAGGTATGGTTTGATTTATCTGCTACATCCAATTGGAAAGCCCCAGCAAATCTATACTGGATCTGTGGTAAGAAGGCATATTCAGAGTTACCACAAGACTGGTATGGGGCATGTGTACTAGGTATGCTCAAACCATCCTTCTTCTTGTTGCCAATCGAAACAGGAGAGACCTTGGGAGTTAAGGTTTATGATGTAAATCATAAAAAGAAGCGAGCATCTTTGAATATAGGTAGCTGGGAAGATGATGAGTGGCCTCCCCAACGTATTATTAATTATTATGGACCGGCTACTTGGGCAGAAGATGGTACTATGGATATAGAACCCCAATATATATGCTCAACCGTATTATAAGACTACAGGCGGTGGTTGAGATTATCACCAATGAGACAGCACAAGCGCTCAATCTCCTAGCTAAACATAATACTCGAATTAGATCAGCCATCTATCAAAATAGATTCGCTCTGGACTACTTATTAGCAGTAGAGGGAGGTGTATGCAGGAAGTTTAATCTAAGTAACTGTTGTCTGCACATAGACGATGAAGGGCAGGCAGTGGCTGAACTTACCAGTCACATGGTTAAACTTGCGCATGTACCTACTCAGGTCTGGAGTGGGTATAACCCAATTAGTTGGTTTGGAAGTTGGTATGAGCAGCTTGAAGGGATTAAGGCATTAGTAGGAGGAGTAGTATTTATTATATTTCTATGTCTCTTTCTGCCCTGCTTAATTCCATTAGTGGTTAGGTCCATACAAAGTGTTATAGACAGCACTATTGAGAGGAAGACAGCTGCCCATGTAATGGCTGTCTATAGATATGAACCTTTAGCCCAAAGAGAGCATATTCAGGATGGGGAATGCTGAAAGAATATGCTAAAGATGCTTACGAGGTCTGTTCTGGTTCATGGCTACTTGAGAGGTGTTTGCAAATTATGATTGATGATGCATCTGGAATTATTTTATATCAGAAGCATCAAAGGGGGGAATGTGGTGGAATTCCAGTAAAATAGAAGTTTAGTAGGCCAAGATTGCCACGTGGCATATGTAGGTACATGTGTTTGTAGTATCAGTTAGTTAGTTACACGTAGCTAAGATACTGTCATCAATGTACTGAGCATGTGCAGGAATGTGGGAACTGAAATCACACTCCTTTCTCCTTTGTTTCGGATGAGCCATGTGGTCAGACCGGATGAGCAAGTCCGGACTCTGTTTATTGATTGGTTAAGGGTATGTGTGGTGTAGCTATATATGGGAGGAGCTATATTGCTATATAAGGAATGTACTCCATGTGTTCTGGGCTCAGATCTGTTATGGAACGTTAGTCCATCTGAGACCCGATCGGTACGTGAATAAAGGCCGCTTACTTCCTGAAGACTTGTGTCCATATCTCTATGTGTGGCTTCTGTGGTTTGTTCCTGTTATTCCTCCGGTAACAAACAGACAAGCTTATGTAAAAAGAACGGGCAATGGTGTTGTAGTAGATGCAATGTTGCCTTATGTACCATGTATCTACTGTATGATAAATACTGTTTGTGATTCTGATGACAAGACTATTTCACACAAAAATAAAGTTTGTTTTAAAAAAAAAAAAATGTTATGGTGGGGGGCAGGCCTGACTGTCATGGAGGCTAGATGTGTCTCGAACAAGCTCCTCCACAAGCCCCACAATTACAGCTCTCAACTGCACACTAAAGCCCAATCTGGGCCAGAACAAGACCAACACAAGCTGCCTAACCTTTCTGCTAAGCGGGGAGGAGGTTGGCGTCACACCGGGGGTATGTAAGCCCCGCCATGGAACATGCAGCCTAGCGGGCGCCGAGCTGGGGAGGCGGACGATCTTGTAAACCGGTGCCGAGAGCCACGAATTGTATGCAGGCGCCCCGTTACCCCCCCACCCCTTTGACCGGCTGAAGTGATCCCGGTCCTCTCCTGAGATGCTGCCCAGTGACTTACCCAAGATGGCGGAGGCTGCGTACCACCCAGTCCCCAGCGATGCTTACAGCAAGATACTCACCTAACTGGATATGCACTTCCTCCACTTTTGGCAGCAACTGGAAAGTAAGCTGCAGCAGCCTACTCCGCCACAGCCGAGCACCCTCTCACACCAGGAACTCCCTCAAGGAAAAGCGGCTCCACATGGGGGGAGGGCTCCCGCATGGGAGCGGAAAAGAAAGCACGCTCTAAGTGCAGTACGGCACGACGGCTTGCCCCAAATCGACATGCTGCTGGACCCTGTGAGATGCCAGTGGTGCTATCCACAGTTCGGAGGGCAGGTGGCACAACGCGTCTGATCCCCACCTGACGGAGACGCCATCGGAGAGTCAGAGAGGCAGCAAGCGCACCCATCTCTTCCTCCCACCACCACTCAAGACAGCCAGGCCTGCAGCATCTGATCGCTTCCACCCTCACCCTGCCAGCAAGCATTAGGAGAATTACTTTTCTCTGCCTTCAATTCTATGTTCAGTTGTTTCTCTACTTTCTGCTGGTCGTTTACATACTTTCAGTTGTGTACATGCCTCTTGCCACTGACAGCCTCTCTCTTGATATGTCTTGCCATTGGGGGGCATCCCGGGAGGAAAATCTTCTACAATAGTCAAGTTTTATTTTTTGTTTTTCCTATCATCAGTCTAGAATCTAGAAGACCTTCTGTAAGAATGTATGGTATTGTCAGTCTAGACTTGTATCTCTAGCTTATCGTTTACTCTTCTATATATATATATATATATATATATATATATATATATATATATATATATAAAAAAAGTGCATTGTATATGAAGCCACGTTAATGTATATCTCTATCTATTGCTCTGATTGCACCAGCTGTTGTGGCAGTGCACATATGCTTGTTAACCTATGCACACCTAAATAAAGAATTTAAAAAAAACTTTATGGTGACATTTTGGGGAAGACTCCTGTTAGCATGACACTACCTGTGGGCACAAAGCATGGTCCATAATGTTTCAAGAGTTTGGTTTGGAGGAACTTGAGTGGCCTGCACCAAACCCTGACCTCAACCCCACTAAACACCTTTGAGACAAATTGAAACTGATTGAGTCAACATAAATGCCTGACCTCACAAATATTCTTTTAGCTGAAGGAGCACAAATGCTCCCAGACACAATGCAACTTTGCAGAAGAGTAGTGACTGTTATAGCCACGAGGGTGGGGGGTGGAGAGAAGCGGTAAAAGTCTTTTAGCGTATTTTATTATTTGCCGTTTCATTCAGGTGTGATTTTAGCTAAATAACTTAATCATATAGTATTTGTCTTACCTAGAATGCGGGGGTAAAAGTGTATTTTAGTGTATTTTATTATTTGGAGTAAGTTATTTTGCTTATTGTGGCACTTAATCACTCCTGAACGAAACGGCAAATAATAAAATACGCTAAAATACACTTTTACCGGTGTCCACGTACTATTGGTCACAATATTTCTTCCCAATTGGACACAATACATATCACTAATGCAGTTGTTGGATTAGCTGTATGTGATGGTGTCTAGGGAACCAATGTAAGTGTCAGACTGAATGAAAATAAATGTTTGATTTTTAACCAGGGGTTGTATGGCTCCTGGCACCATAATCACTACAGAGTGCTGGAGACTCCCCCTTTATCAATTTAATGTTAAAATTGATTTGCTTTTCAGCTGTTGTGGAATAACCAGGTCCTATAATAGTTTGCTTGCCATGGCAATCCTATTAAATGACTGTAGCTACAAAAGCAAAACAGTTTGCAAAGACAGACCGCTTTTTGGATGACAGTAGACTATATTTAGAAAGAGAGCAAATTTCTAGCAGAATGTTTTACCGATATCTGGACAAGTCTTCCTTGATGACTCCTTTGGTGTGAGATGGCAAGGGAATCGAGGTGTAGATCTAATTAAAGTCCCACAGGTATAACTAGTATACATGGATATACCTTGCCTAGAACGCTCACAGTGGTACCAGAAGACGGGAATTTTTATAAATAAAGGGTTAAAACCTCTGCCCTAGTTAAGTCCTTCCAGGTCTGAGAGGGTTAAAAGTTAAATTCTTTACTTCTGTTTCAGTTTTCTGCAGCACATTCCTGAAATGTAACTTTTGCTTTAAAGGACCACTATAGTGCCAGGAAAACATACTCGTTTTCCTGGCACTATAGTGCCCTGAGGGTGCCCCCACCCTCAGGGTCCCCCTCCTGCCCTGCTCTGGAAAGGGGTAAAAACTTACCTTTTTCCAGCGCTGGGCGGGGAGCTCTCCTCTTCTGATCCTCCTCCTCTCCGCCCATTCGGCTGAATGCGCACGCGCGGCAAGAGCTGTGCGCGCATTCAGCCGGTCGCATAGGAAAGCATTTACAATGCTTTCCTATGGACGCTTGCGTGCTCTCACTGTGATTTTCACAGTGAAAAGCACGCAAGCGCCTCTAGCGGCTGTCAATGAGACAGCGGCTAGAGGCTTTGGAGGAAGGCTTAACCCATTTATAAACATAGCAGTTTCTCTGAAACTGCTATGTTTATAAAAAAATGGGTTAACCCTAGCTGGACCTGGCACCCAGACCACTTCATTAAGCTGAAGTGGTCTGGGTGCCTAGAGTGGTCCTTTAACCTTGTAGGTTAGACTCTCAAGTTGTCCCTTTGTTTTCAAGTACACATGCGCAGTAGACTAATGCCATTTTATATATACGATGTGCGACGCATTAAATCTTTGAATGCTTTTTGATACTCCATCTGACGGGTATTCATTGAGTATTCCCAGCAGCTGATTCTACACAGAGACCAGGAAAGCAGAAACGTGTTTGTGCATAAGTCCATGGCAGCTTAAGGGTTTATGAGTAGTGATGTCCCGAACGGTTTGCCGCAGACGGCGAACATATGCGCTGTTCGGTCCGCCCCCTATGTCATCATTGAGTAAACTTTGACCCTTTACCTCACAGTCCGCAGACACATTCCAGCCAATCAGCAGCAGACCCTCCTTCCCAGACCCTTCCACCTCCTGGACAGCATCCATTTTACATTCATTGTGAAGCTGCATTCTTAGTGAGCTGTCCAGGAGGTGGGAGGGTCTGCTGCTCAGGGCTGCCATCAGAAATTTTGGGGCCCCTGACACAGCTCAAGGTCTGGGCCCCCCGGTGCCTTCACCCGAGTCCGCCCAAAGTGCTGTCCCCCCCCCCCGAGTCCGCCCACAGGAATGCAGTGTCTGCAGGGCCGGTGCAAGGATTTTTGCCGCCCTAGGCAAAAGTAAAGTTTGCCGCCCCCCCCATGTGACATCACAATGCCCCACCCATATGATCTGCCATGTTAACTAACACCAGTGCTGCAGTGCCGCCGTGTTTACATTAAAAGGCCTGCAGGGACAGTCTAGACACCAGAAGCTGTAGTGGTTCTGGGGACTATAGTGTCCCTTTAATGTGAGGTAAATGAGAGATTAGTGCCACAAATAATATACTAGATTGCCTACTTACAAACAGATGAGGATGATGATGGGCTCTAGCTGCAGTCTGGCTCCACTGGTCTGGTGTAGAACAGGCTCTCTGGAGGCTGTTTGTAACTGTGGTCACAAAATCAATGTTCTGGGAGAACGGGAAGCAGCTCCATTTTTTGGGGGGCCCTTTACACAGCTCAAGGTCTGGGTCCCAGGGTCCACCTTCATGTTCCACCAATGAGTTTGTTCACAGGGGTGGAGTGTGTGTGTGGGGGATGTCCTGATGTGTGTAAGGAATGCATTGTGTGAATCTGTGTTTGTATGTGTAAGGGCTGCAAGGTGAGTTTGTGTATGTATGGGATGCGGTGTGTGCGTCTGTAAGGGATGCATTGAGTGTGTGTAAGGGGTGCATTGTGTGTTGCTGTGTGTAAGGGATGCATTGCTTGTGTATGTGTGTCTGTGTGTAATGCATTGTGTGTTTTTCTGTGTGCAAGGAGTGCATTGTGTGTGTGTGATGGATGTCAATCTCTCCCCCTCCCCCGTCAATTTCCTTCTCCCCCTTCCCCCGTCAATTTCCTTCTCCCCCTCCAATTTCCTTCTTCTCCCCCTCCCTCCCTCCAATTTCCTTCTTCTCCCCCTTTCTCCAATTTCCTTCTTCTCCCCCCTCTCCTTCTTCCTTCTTCTCCCCCTCCAATTTCCTTCTTCTCCCTCTCCAACTTCCTTCTTCTCCCCCT